AAGGCAAAGGGAGAAAAGATGGGATGGAGCACGGGTAGGTGACCTCAAACAGGAGAAACAGGGTCTGTGGCGGGCAGGCCAGCTTAATCGTGAGGACCCATGGGTGGAAATTCTCAGGGGAAGGAAGATCATTCTAATAACGAGTGCTTTCCAGGGAAATGAGGTAGTGAGCCCTCTGTCACCAAGAGTGTGCAAACAGGATACCCACCTGCCCATGATGCTGTAGAAGATTCAATTTGACTTTAGGTGGGCGGCTGGACTAGACAATTCCCCTTCCATGGTTCTGTGAATCTGGGAAAGGGGGAGCGGGGCAGGGCTCTGCATAGAGGAGCGGCTCCTCTCTCCCTGGCTATGGGGAGACACTGCAGCGTGCTGCAGAGGTGGAGCAGCAGGCAAGGGTGCTGTGCAGCAGTGACAGGCCCTGGGGCTCTGCTCGGCCTGGTCATGCAGGACTGGCTCTCCCCTAGGCCCCAGGGAGTAACCCGGCCATTCAGCCCTTGGAGTCAGAGGCTATGAGGTGGGGACGTGTGTGTGGAGGGACAGCTGCAGAGAAGGGCGAGACTGGAGGTCAGCAGAGGAGAAAGTGTGTGATGTTGGAGCCTACCATTGGGGACAGGTCACAGGGGGTGGGCGTTGTAGCCACAGTAGCCAACGTGGCTGGTGTGGAACAAGAGGGCGGTGACAGAAGACACCCCAGGACTCCAGGTGGCTTGATCCTGTTACCCATTCAGTCCACGTCTGGAAGGGGCTGTGGGGTTGGAGCCACCACTGATGACAAAGGGCAGCTCCCTGGGTTGGTTGGTGCTTCAGGGAAGCAGAGATGCTCTGGGCACTTCTGCTCCATCTATACCTTCTCCCCAGAGCAGAGGAGCTGCCCTCAAGACCTAGCCATCCATCCACCCACCCACCCACCCACCCATCCACGTATTATTCTCAGAAGCAGAGCTGCGGCTGCCCTGTGGACAGGAGAACAGCTCTGGCTGCAGCATCTGAAGAAGGTGATGCCCAGAGGAGGGCAGCAGGGCCTGGTGGGGCCTGGAGAGCACCAAGTCTGGCCTTGAAAGAAAAACGTCTGAACATGGGAGAAGAGAAACATTCTCCTCACACCAACCTTGAAGAAGGTAGGAGGCCTCACAGCTGGAAGGTTCCAGGCCAGTTCCTTCTCCACTCACGAACACGCTCACCTGCAGACCCCGCACCTTGCCACGGCCTGTGAGCCTACAAGCAGCCTCCAGCTGTGCCCAGGGCAAGGCAAGAAGTGAGCTCTGTCCTCACTCTCCTGCCAGGCCTCGGGGGAGTCCTGGGAAGGCATCAGGAATGGCTCTGGGTATGGAGCCTCCAATACAAGGGTGCTGGTGAGTTTGCACATCCACCTGTCTGCTCTGGGCATCAATACTTTGGAGAACTTAAAAAACTCCTTTACCCACCCCGACCCCCCAGTGCATTGAATAAAAAGGAAGAAAAAACTGTTTGAGAAGCCATATCTTCCCTCCCCCTATTCAGAGCATCCCAGAACACACTCGCTAGTGTAAACCCCACCAGCACGCCCCCAAACCCCACATCAACCAATTGGCTTAGAAACCGATAACTTCCTGACTTCTTCCCCTCTGAGGGCCTGTTATCATGGCAACCCCTCACCTAGATCCAGACACCCAGGTGGGACTAGGAACTCCAGCCACCCCAGTCCCTTTGCACACTGGCCTTGGGCTGCCTTTAGCTGTCCTGCTTTGCCCCTCTGCCTGGAGGACTGAGGAGGGGAACACTGGACGTATGGGGACTGACTCTGCCTTGAGATCCTCAGGCCCAGGGCTGAGGGAGGAGAAGTGTGGTTTGGGTGGGACTGTGCACTTAACTGCTCTGTATTAAACCAGCTCTCTTTAAGCCGCCCAGGACGTTTTAGGTAAGGAAGAGCCATGGGAGGGTCTCTTCCATTCACAAATGGGGAAACTGAGTCCCAGAGGAGGTCACAGAACTTAGGACTCCCAGACAGGGGACTCAGGATGGCAGACTCCCACCCTGCTCCAGACCAGGCCAGGGGCCTGGTGGCCTCTCCTCTGAGGGCCAAACTGCCTGATGTGGAACATCGACCAGGGTCCAAGAGCAACAGATTCCTGGAATTGGCCCATGTCCCCTGGGCACTCACCCCTCAGCCTTCCGAGTTTCTAGGGTTCCCCAGGGGGACACTAGTTATCTGGCAACTTCCAAGGCGAGGGAAGGGGCAGGGAGCCTGCCCCACCATCTGGACCCCAGCTGATTTCTAGCAAGGGGTGATCAAGTTCCAGCTCTTCCTTTTACTACAGAAAGGATCTCATTTGGGGCTGCCTCACACCCCTCTCCCCCCGAAATTGGGTCTTGGCAGCTTCTTGGGTCTGGGATGGTACCAGGAGTGAGTGCAGCCTGATTCTGAGCCTCCCGGGTGGGGACAATATTCTGTGTCTTTAGCCACCATCCTGAGGTGTCAAGGCAGCCATTTTTCCCCCCAGAGGCCACCTGCAGTCCAGTGAGGGTGGTCCTGACAACCTGGGACACCTTCATGGGCTCTACTGTCCCTCTGGCTCCCCTCCCGCCCACCACCTGATGCCAGCACTGCCCTCCTAGGCCTCCCTCCCACCCTGGGTCCTCTCAGCCACAAACAGGCCAGCGTGTCTGCCAAACTTTCCAGACCCCCAGAGAGCTAAGCCTCTCGGCCTCTGTGGGGTCTTCAGGGCAGGCCCCTGCCCAGCAGATACCCGCCTTTGCAGGCTCCTCTTCACCTGCCGACTCACCTCTCTCATCCAGGTCTCCTAGACAGAGTGGCAACTTAGGAATCTGGAGGTGCATTAACGCACAGGTGACTCTAAGACCCTCAGAGCTTTGACTCTGCATTTCCCAACTGGGAAGGGGGAGGCAGTGTTCTCATCTCCAAGGCTGCCAAGAGGCTCCTGTCTTGATGTGCTTTGAGAAGTGACACCTGCTGAGCAGAAGGAAGGGACCACAGCTCAGCTTCCCCCCTCTTCTACCCTCCTCCCCCTACCCGGCCAGCTCTAGGATGATTGGTCAGGGTTTCTGTGGTTCCTGCCTCTTGAGAAGCAGTTCCAAGGGCCAGGTCCTGGGGCAGAGCTGGCACTGGCAGGTCTGGGGACAGCCCAAACAGGTGAAACCCTGACCTTGAAAAGGGAGCTATGCCCTCTCCTGTTCTGTGTCCCTGACACTCCCTTCCGCCTTCCTCTCCTGGATGCCATTCCCACTCTCCTCTCAGTCCCTCAGGGAGTGTTGCTCCCCCAGTAGGCCAGTGCCGCCTCCTCCTGCTCGGTCACAATTCAGTCATCGCCTCCTTAGACAGCCCTGATGTAGACTCTCCTGTCCAGTCCCTCTCTATCCCTGGTCCCCTCTCATTTTCTCTGGAGCGCTCCTTGGTGCCTGTCTTCTTGTTTCCTTTATTGTCTCACACCATCAGACTGTAGGCTCCTGGGGGCAGCCCTCAGCACACGGTGGCCCAATCTCTTTGCACACGAGGCTGCCCTGTGGCTGGTGCACCACCCCCATCCCACCTGTCTCTGACCAAGCAAGGCCTTCAGGAGGGGCTCTGGGAGGGAAGGGGCTGCCCTTCCCCTCTTTCCCTTGTCCACTCTCCTGATTGCCCCTACAAAGCCCATGTGGGCTCCTGCGCGAGCGTCCAATTCTACAAATCCAAATCTTGCCCCGGAGTCAGGGGTCCCTCAGCCTGGCCCACCAGGAGTCTAGGGGTCCTGGGGAGATCTCAGCAGGAGAACCAGTCCTCTCCAGCCCTGCATTCTCCAGGCCGCCAGTGAGCACCCGCGCATCCCCACCGCCCCACCTCGGCCAGCCTGTCACTCGGACCACAGCCGCGTCGGCTCCGCCCCTTCCCACGCGCACGGACACGCCCCTTCCCAGCCCCCAGCGGGCGGGCAGCCGCCTGGTACCCGGGGAGCTCTGTCCCTCGGCGCCGGGAGACACATCCCAGCCACCGCAACGAGTCCGCGGAGCTAGGGCGACCGCCGGCTCCAGGTCTGGCTGCCGTCCCCGCGGTGGCCCTAGCACAGCCCTGCCGGGGGGCACCGCAACCCTACGTCCCGCACGTCCCCCGCTCCATCCCTTCCCGGGCACGGGCTCCCGGGAAAGCAAGCGCAGTTCCCGGCCCGCTCCGGGTTTTTTACATAGACTCTTCAGGCTCAGAGAACAATGGAGCAGCTCTCCGCGCTTCCTCCGCCCGAGCAAGCTTTGTTCTTCCCTTCCCGCCCGCTCGGCTTCCATCAGCCAAAGGGCAAAGGCTTCAGTCTAGCGAGAGTCTCCGCGCAAAAGCCCAGACCTTTCCACACTCTCTAAAAAGCCTGGGGGGTTGGGGTTTGGGCCGGAGCCGGGCCGAGGTATAGGACGTGCATCCAGATGCGCGCAGCTGGCTGCCCGCCCGCCCCCTGGCTCCAGACCAGTCTCCTTGCCAGAACCCCCACACCCGGGAAATCCGACTCGTGCTCCCACGGGGATCCACAGAGGAAGTGGGGCCTCAGTCATGCTCCGCGGCCAAACAGCCCTCACATCTGCTTTCCCCACATCCGTCCTCTAGATCCGGCTCCCCCCGGACGCCCCCCTAGCAATGCTGGACGCGCAATCTTGCCGAGCACAGACCACCACACAACTGAGGTCTCCACCAGCTCCAGATTTTGCCACATTAGGATTCTGGGCTTTAAAATCCGAGGAGGCTAATGGGCTTTATTTCTGAGAATCTGTGACCCCCACCCCATTGTCCAGCCTCACCTCAGGCAGGCCAGAGCAGAGCCTAGGCTCCCGCCTGGTGGCATCTTGAAGAAGGGGCACTTTAGCCATGCGCATCTGGAGGTGGGCCAGCCCTGCACACCTGGGCGCAGTGCCCCTCATAACCTGACCAGGGATCTGGAGAGCCTCACTGGGAGGAGAAGCAGCAGGCGGAGCTGCGCTTTCCCCACACCTTCCCAGCAGCTGGCTAGGAGGGAGCCCGGGCGGGGCGGGGAGGCAGGACTCACCCAGCATCTGGCTGAAGAGCAGCTGCTCCAGGTCTCCCAGCACGGTCACCACGAGCTCGGGGTCCACCTTGAGGAAGGCGCGCTCCTCTTGGCCCTTGGCGGAGGGCACGGGCGCGGAGCCCTTCTGCGCCTTGGCCTTGCTGGAGAGCAGCTCGTCGTCCGACTTGGCGTCGTCGCTCACGGCCGCCTCCGGAGCCTTGCTGAGCGGCTTGACCTCGGCGTAGGGGCCGCGCGGGATCCGGCTCGGCTTTCCCAGACTGGGCGCGAGCGGAGCCAGCGGGGTCTTGGCGCCGCCCGCCGGGCCGCCCTTGGCCTGGAAGAGCGAGTGCTCGGACTTGGACAGCGTCTTGGACATCAGCGGAGCCTCGCGGCCTTTGGACCCCGCCTTGCCCAAGCCCTTGGGCGCCTTGGCCATGTCGTCGCTCCACTGGGGCTCGTAGAGCTGCATCTTCTTCTCTGAGTCCGTGAGGAAGGAGAGGTTGGTCAGAGACTTCTGCTTGCGCAGGTTGGAGGCGGGCGGCCCGCCCGGGACTCGGCCGTCCACGCTGCCGGACTTGAAGACCTTCAGCTCCGCCGCGCTGGCCTTGGCCATGCCGCCGCTGCCGCCCGGCGCCTTGGCGCGCTTGGGCAGCATGCCTCTGCCGTCCGCCGCCGCCTTCCTGCTCGCGCCGCGGGGCTCGTCCGCGCCCTCGCCGCCGCCGCCGCTCAGCCCCACCTCGGGCTGCGCGCTCTTGACGCTGCTGCCCAGCATTCTGCCCGCGAGGAGCGCATGGACGATCCGCGCGTCTGCAGGCACGGGGGGCGGGGAGCGCAGGGCGGAGGAGGCGGGAGGAGGGGGAGAGAGAGGACGGAAGGAACGGAGGAGGAAGGGGAGAGGGAGGGAGGGGGCGAGCAGGGGGCGCGGGGGAAAGAAACGCAGGGAAGGAAGCGGGAGAAGGAAAGAGCGAGGAAGCCGGGGAGCGATGGGGCGGGGTCGGAGGCAAAGGGGCGGGGCGGGGAAAATACGAATTAAAATTGAAAGATCAATCAAAGGAAGCACGCGAGCCCGCAGCCTCGCCGGCGCTCGGAGGCGCTCGGGTGCCCGGTCCCGCCCGCCCCGCAGCGCCCTGGCCGCACCCGCCTTGGGCTGAGCCGAGGCCGTCGCTGCAGCTCCAAGCCGAGGCCGGAGGGGAGGGAGGGCGCGGCGCGAACCGGAGGAGGGCGGAGTGTGCCAAGCCGAGGGAGGTGGGAGCGCGTCTATTTCTGGCTCTGGAGGGGGTGGTCTGTGCAGCAGAGATCCAGGGGCGGAGGACTAGGGGGTAGGGGGGGATGAAGGGCCCCGCCAGTGTTTCTCCTCGCTTTCCACGCAGAGGCGGGGCAGGTTCTCCGAGGGGTACGGGTGGCCCCCTGCCGCGCCCAGGGGAGGGGGGAGGATCTGCTGAGGAGATGTGGGGGTGCGGGTGTAAGGGAGTGAGACAGGGCAGCTCGTGGGGACTGGGGAGAGATGTGGGACGGGGCGGAGAGGTCGCTGGTTCCCCCAGGAAACGCCCAGTCCCCCCTTACTTTAGTCTCTGAGGCACGAGGCTGCACTCCTGAGGTAGGGTCTACCTCCCCAGGTAGGGGTTAGCAGGTGGGACAAGGGCGGCTTGGAGAGACAGGGCCCAGGGTTGGCTGGGGAGGGGGCTCAGGGCATTGGAGGAAAGGACCAACTCTTGGGTTCAGGAGACTGGGTTCCCATTCTAACTGACTGCAAGACCTTGTCAAAGTCATTGCACCCTCTAGCTCTGTCCTCTCTTATAGTGGTTATCGTGCCAGCGTCACAGGTGGAATGACTCTGGAACTGTAAAGTGCTGTGTAAACCTAGGGAACCAGGACCAGACCTAGCACAGGCCCCTAGCCTGTCAGAGCTAAAGTGGGCTGCAGAACAATGTAAAAAGACAACATTTTCCTAGCCCTTCCCTCTCCCCTCCCACCTGGTGCAGGGAAGAGAGAGGGTGGAAGAAGCCCAGGGCTGACCCTCAGTAGAGGGCGACACCGCACCTCCTCCCCTGGCCTCCAAGTTAGGGCCAAGTTGCCTGAGCAAATGGCTCTCAGGCAAGAAAGTGAGGGACAGGAGGAAGCAGAGGGGTTGTCTCTGAAAGCAAAGCTTGCTCCAGGAGGGATGGACCCCGGATGGAGCCACACGCTGGGGCTGTAAAGCCCTAAGAACTCTCTGCCAGAATGTGCTAGCCATCACGTTATCTGCCCACCCCATCCCCAACCTCCGTCTCTCCATCTCTCTCCCCCTTCCCCCTAGAATCTGAAGAACTGTGTCAGTCTCATGGTTCACCCACTCTCCTAGCACTAACCATCACAGCCTCCTGGTGTGCGAAGTTGTTGATGTAGACCCCCATCTCCCCCACCAGCACCAGAGCTCTCCGGTGCACCTCTCAGGGAGCAGGCGCTGCCACTATGTTGGTTAAATGGATTTGGAGGCCTGTGTGCTGTATCCTGGGTCTGTACCCTGCATGACTCTGGGGTGCTGTGGTGTCCCCCGCATTCTGCCTTCCATAATCCTAGGGCTGGATCGAGATGCCACAGAATGTGCAAGGACAGGGATCGTAGCCGAGAGGATGTGCTTACCACAGTGCTGAGAACAGAGTCCTCAAGCAGAGGGTAAGAAGCAGCGATCCTTGGCTGGGCCTTGGAGATACAGAGAATGGTGGAGATTCTGCCCTCAAGCAACTCAGTGTCTGGCAGGGAATACAAGACACACAGTACGAGACCTGGGAAACTAATAATCCTGTCCCTGTGAGAAAGCAATGTCACACACATCAACACATCCTCACAGGTAGACTGACGTGGGTGTGTGTATACCAGTTACAGGAACGACAGGAGGGAGACTCTGGGGAGCAGGGACCCTGGATGTCTCACTGACTACTGGAATTCCAGAGTCGGGCCCTTACTCAGTAGGTGCTGAATACATATGAGTGGAGGAGTAAGAGGTGCTGGCAGGCAAGCGAATACGATGGCTTGATGGCTTTCTGGAATACGATGCAGCGTGAGTAGGGAAGCGTTCGGACCGGGAGAGCAGGAAGCAGGAGGCTGTTCAGGCTCATGCCTGCACAGCAGCGGCACTGCCTCAAAGGAGTGGAGGAAAGGAGCTGGGTGCAGAAGTGCACCAGAAGGTCTTGTGACAGAGGGCGCAGCGCAGCCTGGCCTCGGGGCCCATGTCCTGCACTGAGGAACCTCGGTGGAACCAGGGCTGATGATTTCAGACAACCAATGACAAGCCACGGGATCTGGTTGAAGGGACTTAAGCAGGAACCTGCCAGAACTTGGCGTGGGCACAGAAAGCACCCCAAGGATGAGGCCAGTCATGAGATTTTCTCTCTGGGCGCACAGGAGGTACGCGTGCTCACACCCAAACACAGGCTCCAGCTCAAGGAAGGGATCAAGCCCATCCCTGGTGCCAGATCTCTGGGGAACACGCCCCTCCCCCATCCCACAGGCCACTTCTAATGGAATCACAAACCACCCCTCCTAGTCTTCTTCCTTACGTGGAGGGCATGTCTAGTTTGCACAAGACAATGGAATTCAATCACCACCTTTCCTAAAAACAGCAACTGGCAGATCCGGGGACACTTGTTCTCTGATCTACCAGGTCACACTAGTTCTTGCTGGTTGTCTGTAAGTTCTTTTCCTGCATATGAATTCATCTCCTCCTAGCAGACAAGGAAAAATTAACTGGCTGCCATCTGGCTGAAAAACATTATTTCCACTGGGGTCCACTCCACCCAGTGTGGACTGCTGTAGGCAAAACCTGGCACTCTCCCCTCCGGTTAATGGCCCCTCATTGCTGGTTTCCACGTCTGGAGATTCACTTCTGTCAAATTAGTCTGTAGAATCGCTATGAAACACCATTCCACTTGTTGCTCTGTCCACTGCACTAGTCACTGGAGGCCCACTGCCCCGCGGCCTGCTCTCCCTTCTTCCTGGTTATCTTATACCCATCTCGTTCCTGTGCTTCAGCCTAGTCCCTTCCCCTCTCCTTACGCCTCTTTGGTCCTCCGTGCCTCCTCTCGAGGGATATCTTATGCCCCAAATCCCAAGTCCTCTCCCATCCCTCAATAAACAGCTCCTGAAATTCTGCCTCCTTCCAAAAGAGAGGGTGGTCCAGAAGAGAGAGAGAGGTGGTCCTAGCCCCCTCCCCACCATCTAAACCTCCCCACTCCCTCCTGTGTGAAACGCCACCTGTCAGTTTAGGGACAGAAACTCCTTCCACACTCATCTCATGAGTTCACTCAGTGTGGATCCCCTGGGGGCTGGTCCCCTCTGTCCACCCGTACTGCTCATCTTCCCACTGTCACTCTCTAAGGGTCTCCGCATGGCCATGTGGCGGTCCCTTTAAGTAGCCATCTTGGCATCTCAGAACTTTCAGATGCTCCCTAACCCTAACATGGCCCTCCCTCTATCTGCTTCTTTTTTGATTCCCTTCACATCCCTGAGTTTCCCACCATCCTCTACTGCAGTGGGAGCCTCTGCTGCCGTGGCAACCGCCATTCCAACCTCAGTCGATAAAGCCAATATGTGCAGAATGTTTCCTCTAGTGATTCCTAAAAAGAGAGGGACTTGCCCCGTCACACCACCCCCAAGCCCAGCCGTGAGGCTCCTCCTCTGCCCTTTCCCCACTCTGTGGGACAGATGGACTGTGAATGCTCCAGAAGACAGACGCCGTGAGGAGCTATGTGATGAGGGAGAGGCCTGGCTGGGCAGGGATGGGTGCTGCTGATGGCAGTGGCCTATGGAAGGGGACCGGATCCTGCCCAGTTTCTAAAGGGGAGACGGGGAAAGAGGCTGGTTGGGAATTAGGGAAGTCCCCAATCCCCAGCTCCCCAAAGTCTGGCTCATCACCCCACTCCTCTCTCTCCAAAGGCATCGGCAGTTTCTGGGATGGGGAGTGGTTGGGTAACTTGACCACATCTGTTGACCAATAACATAAAGCAACTTGAAGGATGAAGATAAGGCATGCAGCCAAGGAAAGAAAAACATGTACACATCCTCACGCCCCTGCGACTAGAAAGGGATGGAACCCAGGTTGTCTGTGGTGTCTGGGGGGCTCTGCCTATTGGACTGGGTTAGGATCCCTGGAGGAGAGTGGGAGAGAGAAGAAGGTGAGAAGGAGGGCTAGGCTGCTGTTGACCTTGAAAGGCGACCTTGGGAGAAGAGGGGATCTCAGGGAGGGGTAGTGGACAGGTGAGTCTATAACTGGCTCCCTCAAGGGCTAAGGGCTAAGAAGGGAAGAGGGAGGGTTTTCCTGATTTCTGTGCCCACAGTCAGGATCTGCAGAGCAAGGGCTGGGCACCGACCACCCACCCGAGGCCAGCCCAACTGAGTCACAAGCACCTTCTGTAAATTTTCCTGCTCAGACCCCTGTGATGAGGGTTTTCATCACTTCCCAGATTCCAACTCCTCTGCTTTTGTGGAAAGCCCTCCAGCCACTGCTCTCTACTTCCTTCTGCCCTTTTCTCTGCCATGTCATACCTATGGCATCCCACCTATCAGCAGGGACTTGTTGAGCACAAAATGTGCACGAGGCCAGGCTGAAGGCTGCTCACATAGCTGGTGCACAGAGTCTCCTCTGCATCCAAACAAGCAGCTCCCTCCCACTGCTCACATCTCATCCAATCCGTGCCATTGCATGCCAGCTCTGACAGGGCAGAGGACAAAACAGACAAGAATTCCTGTCCTCATGGAGCTTCCATTCTAACGGGAGGGACAGACAATAAATTAGAAACGTTAGCTACTTAACAGTGCTAAGGAGAAAA